GAACCACCATTAAATTAGCTGCTTCTGACATTTTAAATGCTATTGCAGTCGTACTATCAGCAAAAAATGTGCGCATCGAACTGCAGCATGCAGGACTTCCTTGTTTTCTTCTGGATCTGTGGCTCAGTCCCGCCCCCGTCCTTTTTTGTCCAATGGGAGCAATGATCGTCACACTCGTGGCTTTGTTTACAAGTTATAGTTCATTTGCAAAAAAAAGCACAATGTGAATGCAAACTGCACCAAATGAAAAAAAAAAAAGTCCATTTTTGGTCTGGACCAAACAATTGGACCAAAGGACTTTCCTGGTCTGAATACACCCCTAATCTCAGGACAGAAAAGTGAGTCAAAACAAAGCGAAGCAGAAAACAGGATGATGTTTGTGTTGAACACAGAGACTGTGTCTCAGAGTCCAAACAGATTAAACATCATAACAAACACACAGATGTCACATTCAGCTAACTGTACAACAGTTTATTCATCCAGCTGCACACGGGTTGTCACGAGGATCGCACACAAACAGTGAGAGGCACCGCTGAGGGCCAGATCAGATTTCTGCTTGGAGAGGAACAATCTCTGATTCCTGGCATCAGAAAATAAAGATTTAAAGTTTATTGTCATTTCATTTTAATGGAAAGAGATACAAAATCAATAAAAATACACAACAAAGTCTGACTGATTTACTGTCCATGTCAGTGAGTAAAGGGTTTGATCGGTTCTTGATGGTGGGACTGTTGTTGGTGAGATGCTTCTCATAGCTGGACTCCAGGTTTAAAAACACCCTTCAGGGTTCTTGGACACATCTTCAGCTGCCACACAGATTCTGAACAGAACATCTGGAGACCAGCCAAGCTGCTTCAGGGCTGTGATGTGCTTCTTCTGTAGCCTCCGAACACGGCGGGCCGAGTGGATTCCAAAGATGGATTTTGGTTTTGTTTGATAACAGAACTTTCAAACGATCCCTGTATCATTTAGATCTCTGAAAAAGTAAAATGGGCCTGTGACTGGAGAAGAGTTTGAACCTCAGATGGGATGGGTCTCTGCTGGTACCACTTGTTCATTTATTCACTGTAGAGGAGGACAGGTCCTGTATGGATGCAGGTTCAGTGAGCCTCTCTCCAGTCTTGATTGACATCTGCATCTATGTTGGCAGACCACATGAAGTCCTTGTTGGTGGTGATGCTCGTCAACCTGACTGAACAGAATTGTTGTCAACACTTTGTTTCCTCCAGAGGTTCTGGTCTGCTCTGACGACGTCCAGACGTCTTCATCTTCAAGAACATTAACAGCATCGGACACTCCCTCGTCACCTCCAAGCAATGCTGCTAAGAAACAGCAGCCGGCCCAGCAGGGCGCAGAGGCTCCACCCACGTGTCTTAGCTCCGCCCCCGGGCCGTCTGACTGGCAGCCATCAAAGATATCCCAGGATGAATCTGAGCCAATCTGGGCCCAGAGGCTGACACTGGACAAGGTAACGATGCTTTTATGTTTTTTAAAATTCCTTCCTTCTTTTGAAAACACAAACCAAAGGTCCGTGGGTCAAATCTGGCCCTCATTAACACTTTATTCGGCCCTAATGGTAGTACTTTAATTGTGGAATATTTTTTGGCACTGTTTTTAGTGCATTCTTCTCGTGACAGCTGGCCAACAGACATACCAAGTCAGAAATTTTCATTAATTCTTTTATTTTGTTGTAGATAAATCAACTTAAATCATCTTTTTCTGTATTCTCTTCTTATCTTAAAGCCAAATAATTAGATTTTAGTGAGTGGGTTTTTATTTTTCACCTGGTTTTCTGGCTTGAAATAAAATGTTTCTCTAAAATATCATTAATGAAACAGCTGGAGGAGAGGAAGGCTTAAGAAATTAATGCTAATGATGAGTTTTTCTAAATTTTATCATTTTTCTTTAAAAGTTAGGTTGTGTATGTTCTAAATGCTACATAATACACAATTTGGAAAAGGTTATTTTATTTCTATGAGAATAAATTATTATATAATATTTATTCAAATAAATTGGCCCTTAGGTTGGACCAGATTTGGATTTGGGATTCTGGTCTCTCATTGTGCTCCTGAACCTGATTCTTGGTTTGGTTTTTGTTTTCCCTGGCAGCTGGATCTCGCAACAATTTGAGTTCTTCTGGTTTCCGGTTCTGTTCAGATGTTCTGTCTCCTCTCTGCTGGATTGTTTCTTTGTCTTCTTCTGCTGCTTCCTCAGTTCGTTCGGTCTTTAACCTCTGTTCTTTGTGCTTCCAGAAGCAGCAGTACAGTGAACCGCAGTGAAGTTAGTTTCAAGTTGGATTTTCGATATTCGAGCTCCGTGAATCAAGGGTTGTCTTCCTCTTGTCTAAACCGGTGAAAGCGGTCTGACGTCAGCCAGCAGCCCTCCGTCTGCTCGCTCATCTACAAGCGGTGGTTGGCTTAGGGATCGTCAATAAATTACCGACCGAAAAATATGTGCAGGAAAAAAATTCAATAGCTTCCAGGC